AACAAACAGCGCATGCGCAGAGCAACTGGTTTTGAAAGAGAACCAGGAGCAGCAGCTCCCCCTGCTGGATCGACTCAGTATCAGACTTCACATTTTAGCACTTTTTTCTATATTTTTTGGACTAATTTTCGTTACGATGTCCAAACTTTTCTTGTAACATTTGGATGGATGTAATTTTGATTCTTTAACTACTTTAATGTTTACTTTGTTTTGGGTTCATTTTGTAAAACTATGATCCATTTTAGAGCATAATAATGATGAATGAAATAAAWATATTTAAAATTGAACTATTTCATAAAACATCTGTTGTCCTGTTGTTTCCCCACAGAACCACATGAGGACAGTAGAGAACCAGAGACCATCAGAACCACATGATTTGTGGTTCTGCAGAGTCTAGACTGGGTTCTGGTTCGGCTCAGAGCTGGATCTGGATCAGGACCTGGTCTCAGAGCTGCAGATGGATGTGGTCTCCTCTCAAACACACAGAACTCTTTAAACTCTTTAATCCAGACTTATTGGAAAAGCATCGAGTGTGAGCTCAGAGCTGAAATTAGATATTGATCCTCCTCCTGGAGTCTCCCTCCTCCCTGGTCCGGTTCTGATCACACTCCCTCCTCCCTGGTCCGGTTCTGATCACACTCCCTCCTCCCTGGTCCGGTTCTGGTCACACTCCCTCCTGCTGATCCAGTCTTTCAGACTCTTCTCTCCATCACTCAGGGGATTCATGAGGACCTGAAGAGACAAACCTCCAGAACTCATAAATATTATTTTATTTTGTTTTGTTTTATTTTATATTTTATTTTATTTTATCAGATGCTGAAATTAGCTGAATAGTAGCTAAAAGTAGGAAAATCGTAGCTAAAATCAACGAAACTGAATAGTCGTAAAAGCGGCTACAACAGCTAAAAGTCAAATTAGAAAAGCAAAACAAAATGAAAATAACAAAAGAGTTATTGAAAGATAAAAAGGAGTAGAATGGTTCCTATAATGTAAAAGTAGCTGAACAATAGCTAAAAGCTAAAAGAGCCCAAAAAGTAGCTAAAAGTTAAACTTAACAGAATAGAAAGTAAAAGCTAAATGAAGCAAGAAGACAAACAGAACCAGCAGCTGAAGTTTTAAAGAAACAAACTTTATAAAGATTTTTTTAAATTTTACATACAGTATTAAACAAAGTTTCTCAATAAATTGAAATATTAAAAAAATATCAAAGTTTCCATCAGGTTTGATCAGATTGTTTTTTAAATAAGAATTAAATTGCCTTAATCTGTTAGTTTAGTTTTTGTATTAAAGCTGTTTTTAATCAGTTTTTGTGAAGAATTGTATTTATTTTTAATTGAAAACAACCTTTCTTTATGAAACATTTATTTCCTACACAGTGAATGGAGCCTAAACGCATCGTGGGAGAACATCAGTTAAAGGCTGTTGTTGTTGTTGTTGTAAAACTGAAATAAATAAACACCAAAGCTCTGCAACAATCAGTCTCCTCCTCCCTCAGGATCACCTTCACTCATCACCTCGTCTATTTTTTCCCTCCTCTGTTGCTAGGCAACGACCAGGAAGAGACATTGGAGTTACAGGAAGAGCTCCAGAAAGGTTCTTCATGAGACGTCCTGCTTCTCTTTCTATAACTGGAAGAAGAAAAGCTTTTTTTTTCCTCGAAGGAAAACAGTGCTGAGCTGCAGGAGAAATAACTTCAGTGATCTGAAACAAGCTCTGGATGCAGCTGGTTTAAAGAAAAACAGAATCTTCAGTTTCAGCTTCTGTTGTCCTGAAATATTTTCATCAAGTCGTTTTCCTCCTAGAAACAGAAAACCTCCTTTTTAAAAAAAATACTAACTTACAGTAGGTGGCTGAGGATGGTCGTATTGTAGGTCATCTGGTTAGTTGGTTGGTTGTCTAGTTGGTTAGTTATGGTTGGTTGGTTGGTTGGTTGGTTGGTTGGTTGGTTGGTTGGTTGGTTGTGGTTGGTTGTCTAGTTGGTTGGTTGTGGTTGGATGTCTAGTTGGTTGGTTGGTTGTGGTTGGTTGTCTAGTTGGTTGTGGTTGGTTGTCTAGTTGGTTGGTTGTGGTTGGTTGTCTAGTTGGTTAGTTGTGGTTGATTGGTTGGTTGGTTGTCTAGTTGGTTGGATGTGGTTGGATGTCTAGCTGGTTAGTTGTGGTTGGTTGTCTAGCTGGTTAGCTGTGGTTGGTTGTCTAGTTGGTTGGTTGTGGTTGGTTGTCTAGCTGGTTAGTTGTGGTTGATTGGTTGGTTGGTTGTGGTTGGTTGTCTAGCTGGTTTGGAGTGGTTGATTGGTTGGTTGAGGTTGGTTGTGTTTGGTTGTCTAGTTGGTTGGATGTCTAGTTGGTTGGTTGGTTGTCTAGTTGGTTGTGGTTGGTTGTCTAGCTGGTTAGTTGTGGTTGGTTGTCTGGTTGATTGGTGGGTTGTCTAGTTGGTTAGTTGTGGTTAGTTGTCTAGTTGGTTGGTTGGTTGTGGTTGGTTGTCTAGTTGGTCGGATGTGGTTGGTTGTCTAGCTGGTTAGTTGTGGTTGGTTGTCTAGTTGGTTGGTTGTGGTTGGTTGTCTAGTTGGTTGGTTGTGGTTGGTTTGTCTAGTTGGTTAGTTGTGGTTGATTGGTTGGTTGGTTGTCTAGTTGGTTGGATGTGGTTGGTTGTCTAGCTGCTTAGTTGTGGCTGGTTGTTTAGTTGGTTGTTTGGTTGTGGTTGGTTGTCTAGCTGGTTAGTTGTGGTTGGTTGTCTAGTTGGTTGGTTGTGGTTGGATGTCTAGCTGGTTAGTTGTTGTTGGTTGTGGTTGGTTGTCTAGCTGGTTAGTTGTGGTTTGTTTAGTTGGTTGGTTGTGGTTGGTTGTCTAGCTGGTTAGTTGTGATTGATTGGTTGGTTGTGGTTGGTTGTCAAGCTGGTTAGTAGTGGTTGATTGGTTGGTTGAGGTTGTTTGTGGTTGGTTGTCTAGTTGGTTGGTTGGTTGTGGTTGGTTGTCTAGTTGGTTGGATGTGGTTGGATGTCTAGCTAGTTAGTTGTGGCTGGTTGTCTAGTTGGTTGTTTGGTTGTGGTTGGTTGTCTAGCTGGTTAGTTGTGGTTTGTTTAGTTGGTTGGTTGTGGTTGGTTGTCTAGCTGGTTAGTTGTGATTGGTTGTGTAGTTGGTTGGTTGTGGTTGGTTGTCTAGCTGGTTAGTTGTGGTTGATTGGTTGGTTGTGGTTAGTTTCAGTTGGTTGTGGTTGGTTAATTGGTTGTGATTCGTTGGTTGATTGGTTGAGGTTAGTTTCGGTTGGTTGGTTGGTTGTGGTTACTTGTGGTTGGTTTGTCTGGTTGGATTGTGTTAGTTTTGGTTGTTTCTGGTTGGTTGTAGTAAGTTGTTTAGTTGGTTGTTGCTGGTTGGTCTGTGTGGACCTTCGGCTCATCTTCGGCTGTTGCTCAGAATTGGTCCACATTAGGTTTATCTTCAGTGGTTTGTCTGGTTTCTTTTCATTAAGTTTCATTCGTCCTTATCTCTCTGCTGCCAGTTTCCTCTCTGCTCCGCTCAGCTTTAGAATCTTTTTCTTCCTCGTGGCGTTCAGCTCAGCTCAGCTCAGCTCAGCTCAGCTCAGTTCAGCAGCATTTCCTTCGCCTCTCTGTCACCTCCCCTCCTCCTCCTCCTCCCTCCCGCCTTTTTCTTTTTTCTGCCGTGTGTTTGCAGATGAAACGGGCAGACTGCCAGTTTTTCATATTTCTTGGCAGCGAAGCGGCGAGCCAACTTTCCGGGGACGTGGTGGGGGGGTTGGGCCTCGCTAAAGGTTACATTTGCACAATGTGTCTGAGAAAAAAACAGTGAAGAAGAGAGAGAGAAAGAATAAAGAAGGAAAAGCTGGGCTGGATCAGCTAAACGACTCCCCCGTTCAGGGATAATGGAAACAGGCCTCGGGGGAAGATTCAGTATACAGGAATATCGAGTTTCATGCAGCCGGTCCTCCTCCTCTCTTTGTCTTCCTGCTCAGAACCATCCTCACCTTCACTCCCTGCTTCTTGTTTGTCAGGAAACAGTTCAGCTGCTGCCTGTTGGACAGACTTGTGTTTACAGGACTGCGAGTTTGTCTTTGTGGAGCAAATACTGACAAATACTGACAGCCAGTCAGCAGCTAGGATCATCTGCTGGTGAACAGTGTTCTCCAGGAAATCTCCTAAATGTCTCAAAACGTCTCCAAACATGTCCAAAACTTTTTCCAACATGTACAAAATGTCTTCAAAAGGTTCCAAATTATCTCCAAATGGTCTCAATATGTTCCAAAAGTCCATAAATGTCTCAAAACATCTCCAAAACATCTCCAAATTTGTCCAAAATGTTTCCAAATTCCCTAAAAAGGTCTCCAAATGTCTTCAAATGTCTCAAGTCATATCCAAACATGTCCAAAATACTTCAGATACAATACTTCTCCAAAATGTTTCCAAATGTGTTCAAAACTTCTCACAGTCTGATAGTCCTCTGGGTTGTCCTAAGTTTCCTCATGAACTTTAACCATCAGAGCAGGAAGTCTTCTCTCAGCTGATACAAGTGTCTCCAGCTTGTCTCAGGTTAGTCTCCAGCTCATCTCAGGTTAGTCTCCAGCTCGTCTCAGGTTAGTCTCCAGCTTGTCTCAGGTTAGTCTCCAGCTCGTCTCAGGTTAGTCTCCAGCTCGTCTCAGGTTAGTCTCCAGCTTGTCTCAGGTTAGTCTCCAGCTTGACTCCAGCTTGTCTCAAGATAGTCTCCAACTCATCTCCAGCTTGTCTCCTGTTTGTCTCAGGTTATTCTCCAGCTTGTCTCGGACAGTCTCTAGCTCGTCTCCAGTTTGTCTCAGGTTAGTCTCCAGCTCGTCTCGGGTAAACTCCAGCTCATCTCCAGTTTATCTCAGGATAGTCTCCAGTTCGTCTCAGGGTAGTCTCCAGCTCGTCTCCAGTTTCATCCATCCATCCATCCATTTTCTTCCGCCTATCCGGGGTCGGGTCGCGGGGGCAGCAGCTTCAGAAGGGAGGCCCAGACCTCCCTCTCCCCAGCCAC